CTGGCTCAAAAATATGAGTGGCGAGTAGAATGTATTATATTATTGCGTTAATAAATAATAAAAAAATAAATATTATTGATTGCTAAACCTTGTTTTATTCATCTAATTTCAGGAACCAAGCCGTACATTTAAAGGATCGTCTACTGCTTTAGTAAAATCAAAAACCACGAAATCTCGATCCCGAATCAGAATCAGAGAAAGGTTAAAGCGAAGTAGTTTTCACGTGATATGATTTACTACGTAAAAAAATTTGTATTCGACTTGTAGCCTTTTTTAACTTGTTATTGTGATTTGGTAGGCCATGTATATAAGCAACTTTCTACGCTGAGCATTTTTTCTTAGTGGCCAAAAGCCAGTTGTCATAATAAATATTTCGATTTCTCGATTTTTATGTTACACTTGATCTCACAAAATGATTGGATTTGATCACATGAAACTAGATCATCTGTATGCATATTGAAGTATGATTTTTAAAAATATAAACCAATCAAATCGCAAGATCAACGTGTTTATTTTCTGACCATAAAAACCTTTTTGCCCTTTTACCATGGCCAACTCATGGCACGCTTATTTTGACAGAACCGACGCAGAAGATTGGAATATTTTGCAATTTCATATAGAGTGGATCCAGGATAACGAAAAGAATCCGGTAAACCTGGCTTACGATAAGTCTTTAGACACACTCGCAAAAAGTCTCCGGGCGATTGTTAATAAGCACGTAGACGATAAAAAAGTTACAAAAGCAAAGAGCCTTTTGGCTGTTATTAAGGCGAGTTACTTTTAATATGTTTTTGAATGCTATGTCATAATAAGAGTTTCTATATGAAACAGACTATCGGCTATTATACGGCATAATTTTGTTTCATCTATAACAAGGAGGCATGGCTTTTAGCTATTCCTCTGATGGGCTTCTAGCTCGTTGTGGTCTCTGCAGTGGAGACTCTAAATGCCTTTTAGGTATCCATAGCTAGGAAGTGTGGCTTTTAGCTATTCTTCCGATGGGCTTCTAGCTTGCTGTGGCTTGATGTAGCATTTGTTGCTATTGATGTGTAAAAAATATTTTGTTCATTAGATTAGACTAATAAATGTTTGTCAGGATCAACGGAAAAAAGGCAATGATATCGATAACCTTTGGCTTACCATTGAAAACAAGATGTGTGATCGTCGGTTAAATAAAGAAAGAAAGAAATTGGAAATTCTTCAGGTAATTAATATAACTGTATAAACATTTGAAATGAATTGTTCACAATTTTTATCTTTAATTAAATACAACAGGTTAAGGGGATTGCTCAAGCTACAAGTCAAAGCCAATCATACGCGTTTGCATTGAATGATAGTGCTCTTGCAAACTTGGAACTTACTGCAACTAAGATAAATCAAGATCAAGAACTATTTGGGAGCAAAAAGGATGAAATCCCAAAATCAATCGCAGATTCCGAAAACAATCCGTTTTTGGTATCCGAGGATGAGGTATGATAGTTCTCATTGAGAATATAATTAATCACCAAGTTTTACTTGTCCTAATGCTTTTTTTCTGCGAACAGTATGTATGTTCACAGAGAATTCTGAACGAAGGGACAAAATTACCAGCTCCTAATAAACGAGGAAACAAAATCGAAAGAGACGTTCTTACACGTAAAAAGGTAAAAATTATGTGATAAAAGCTACAAGAACGTAAAATCTCATGTACATATCTCTATATTTAGGCAAAAAAGAACGTGAAAAGTTATCCTCAACCAATAAACGGAATGTCTTCCTTCGAGTCTCTTCCTTCTGATGAAGATAACAAAGAACATAGTGAAGAAGACGACATGGAAATTAATTTTGACCTAACGATTATTTCAACCGAATTACAGCGTGAACCGACAGTCAAGGTATGACACATTAAAATTTTGATTCTCTTACTGCATGTACCTTACAGTATGCTTTGTTTTTAGTGGGAAGTTGGCCACATCAATGTGACTGATCGGTTTCGGCAGTACCAGAAAGAGATTATTGAGAAGGCGGGAATAGAAGGGTTGAAATACGACAATATATACGAACTCTTGTATGTATTATGAAATATCGAACAATTGACCAACACAACAATTTTATTGAGCATCTTTTTCTTATTGTACTAGAGCTTTATCGTCGATTATCGTCCTTTCCTGGCCATGTCCGTATCCCTCCTTGTTTACAATTCAAGAATGGAAAGAGGTCACAAAAAATAATCCATATACTGTCCAAGAATCCTCTCTTTCACCGGGCATTTTGTCATCTATTAATGAAGCATCGTTTAACCATTTTCTCGGAATGGATGCATTTATGGAAGGCGGAAAATCGAAACTAAGTAGACTAGTTGCACGAGCGTTTAATGACTTGTATGTAATATAATTTTATAATATATACATGAGATTGTAGCTTATATAATTTTTTTTACGTCATAGGTATGACAGTGTTATGAATATTGCTCCCTTAAAATTGTCCGAAGAAGAACATTGTCTACGTTTCGTCTATCCAATTTCTCGCCCATTTTTCGTCGGTGAGAAAGAATACGATCTAGTATTAAACCGTTCTAATTCGGGTTCTAAAAAAAGACCGGACCTTTCATGCGTGGTAAACGGTGTACCGATCTTGAATTCG